ATAAAGTGGCAAGTCATAAAACTGAGACTGAAAGTAAAGCTGTCCGACTCCGAAGTTCAAGCCCTTTCTACACTATCATGCAGTTCAATCTAGTGAAAAAAAAAATCACTCTTGAAAGCGTCTTAGCATTTTAAGCATAAAAGTGTGTTAGTAAGGATCCTCTGGAGCTTCCAAATTCTGTTTTATCTGCACTGAATTTCACACACACACACGTCTCTTATTTCCCCCCTTCCTATTGAAATTCAGCACCGAGGACAGTTCCCGATTCATGTTTGCAGGAAGCTGTCCTTGGATTCTGTTAGAGCTCACACTCTCATTCTTGACTTCCCAAGTGGCACTGAGAAAGACAGGAGGAAATGTAAGAAAGTATGAGATGGGATCCTCTCACACCATGGTGGAAATTAGCACATTTCCCAGAAGACCAAGATAAAAATGCATGTGAGAAGAACAAGAGAACCAAACAGATGGGGCAATAAAATGGAGGCGGAATGAGCTCATCAGGATTCCCAGCACACGGTTTAAGTCCATACTGGGCTCACAGCTGACCTGGGACCAGCCGACATAGTGAATGAGTGGGTGGTTACTATGCTGCAGCATCAGTTACACTAAGAGATTAGGTGGAGCTGATTCACTGCTGCAGATCTGCACGACTTTTCAAGTGGAGGAAAATCTGTGGGCCCTGGTCTCTGCCACTCACATAACCATCCTCATGGGTAGCATGAGTCATACATGCAGGATCTTTCAGGTAGACAAAGTTGTTGTGCTGTGAGTAAATCCAGTATGAGCTTTCATGTCGTGGAGAGCAGGTTTTAACCACAGCTACAGCATCTCCGCATATGAAGGTTTACCTGCTCTACTACACAACGACCCTGCCTTTCCACATTCACCTTTGGCTACAGGTGGTTCATAACACACACAGAAAAAACAAGTTTCTGAAACGTTCCTCACACCAACAGTGATCCCTTCTTTTCCAAACTACCAAGCTCTTGAGTACAGCTGAAGCACCTTTAGACAGTTGAGTCTTATCGTCTTACCTTTTTAAAATTATTATTATTATCATTATTATTATTCTGAGACGGAGTCACCCCCCATCGCCAGGCTGGAGTGCAGTGCTGCAATCTTGCTCACTGCAACCTCGGCCTCCCGGGTTCAAGCTATTCTTCTGCCTCAGCCTCCCAAGTAGCTGGGACTATAGGCGGGTGCCACCACACCCAGCTAATTTTTTTATTTTTAGCAGAGACAGGGTTTCACCATGTTGGCCAGGATGGTCTCAATCTCTTGACCTTGTGACCCGCCCGCCTCAGCCTCCCAAAGTGTTGGGATTACAGGCGGGAGCCACTGTGCCTGGCCCCCACCCCCGCCCTTATCTTATATGCAAGGAAACTGAAGTCCAGAGAGGAGAAATGACTTGCCCCAAACCAATTAGCTAGTGACAGAGTTAGAATTAGCACTGGATCCCTCATTCCTAAGCCAGCAGGCTTTTCATTGCACCAAGAAGATAAAACTGTAAATAGCATGGTACTCTGTTAACTAAGCCTCTAATTATACTGCCTCCAAAGAAAATAACATTTCAAATGTCTGGGTCTTTCCATTTGAGCTTTGGCAATTTCACTGATCACTTCTCATACTGGAATCTCTTTTAAGACGTTTAGGAGTAATTATATTGGGATATATGCTATTTTTACTCTTGTACACTGCTTTCTTTGTTTAGGAGGAAATTAGAATTCTGGAAATACACTTGATTTTGTTTATTTATTAAAGGAACAAGCTTCTATTTCAAGTAGTTGCAAATATGAATGTATCAGTCTGTGTGTCAAGAAAAGATATATGGAACAATATAGGAATGATAATACTCTATTGTCACATCCAATTAAGGGCCACCTAGGTCTACAAGTAAAGACGAACATCAAAGCTATGAGTGAAAATGGAAAAGTCACATCGTTATCTGAATAATTTTGAAAAC